CCAATGGCGGGAGCGGGTGCTGCGACCTCCTGTAAACCCCTAAACACAGAGGAGCTGGCAAGCAGGGAGACGAGGACTGGGGCTTTCGCTGGGGAAGAAATCCAGGTGTAGTTGGCAAGCTGTGGTCCCAAAGGGCTTCCCTCCATCCTTAAGTTGTTAATGATCTTTATTAGCCAGGGAGCATGGCTCCCCTGGCCTCCGAAGCTAAGGCTCCCATTCCTCTCCCCCCACCCCCATTTCTTCCTCTCGCTCCACTTAGCCACTGATCCCTGAACATCTGAGCGACAACAGCCCGAGCCCCAGGTCTCCACCAGCCTTTGTCCCTTGCAGAGGGCGGGATAAGGGGGCCCCTCTCCCCCCATGCTCCGCCCTCCCTTCTGATTGCTCTTGTGTGATCACAGTTTGGTTGGATTTTCCTACGGGGCCTGGAGGAGGCTCCCGTAGCCTCTCAGCGTCCAGGCTGTCGCAGAAATAAACCCCAGCCCCAGCCCTTGGGGCTGTGTGTTCCTGCACGGAGATCTCTGATGGGGCAGCAGGTGGGGCAGTCTGCTGGTTCGAATCTGGCCAGTCTGCTGGCCAGTGTTGGGAGCCGCTGGGGTACCTGGCATTTAATGTGAAAAAACTCATTTCGGCCTCCTTCCCACATATTCCGAACTTCATTATAGGTGGGGAAACTGAGGCTGAGCTGTCCCTTGCTCCAAGACTCCCAGTAAGTGGCAGAAGGGATGCTGCACTCTGTCTGACCCTTTGCAAAACAGTGACAGGGTGACCACTAAGCCACCTTTTGGATGGCGATCCTTTGTTTAGCTGAACATGGGCTAAAGGTGGGCCGCTCCTCTCAACCTTCAGCACAACCCCTAGAGATAGGGATTCCATTGCTTTCCAGCACCTAGAATAGTGCCTGGCATGCAGTTGGAATTCATATATTTGCTGAATGAATAGATCACCCCTTCCTGCCCTATTAGAGTGGTGGAAACAAGCCCAGAGAGGTTGAGACTTGCCCAAGGACACACAGCTAAGAAGCTGAACCCACACAGTCTGCCCACGGGCTTCAGAGTGGGCGATGTGGAGCATGTGGCCCTCGGGCCCTGACCTCCTGTTGGAGACCCAGCTCCACTCCTCTCCTGGGGTCATCACCCTGACATCAGAGCTTCTATTACCAGATGCCCTCACAGTTTCAAGTTAGGGGTGTGGATCCCCATTTTTACCATCAGGGAAACTGCGGCAGTCACTTCTTACCCCCTCCCCCACACCATCCCCTAGAAAAGTCACAAGGTGAGACCAAGCGATCAAGGGGATATCTGGACCCCCTGCCCCCCACAAAGCACACAGTCTTGCTACTTTAATATGACCCCTGTTCTTGAAGACCCAACTCCTCTGGGAGGAAACCCCCCAAGCCGGCCCGGATCAGAGCTCCCCAGCAAACAGGATGCAATTTTTAAATGAAAAGGAAACTTTTATTTTGGTGGGAAGTAAGAGGGTGGGTGGGAAGGGGGCATGACACTTTTTTCTTTAGGGAGGGCAGGTGACATGCGGCAGCTTCTGCATTGGGCGGTTCATGCACCCAGGGTGGGCGTGGGGGAGACTTGGGGGAGGGGCCATGCCGACCCCTCCCTCCCTGCCCTGGGGGTGGGCTGAGAAGACCCGCCATTAGCACCAGAGTTGGACGATTTGCAGACCTCCCCTCCCCACACTGACTCCGGACACCCGCCCCCATCCCTGAGAGCGCCCCCTCGCCACTCCTCCCACCTCCCACTTCGACAGGCCAGGCCTGTCCCGCCCACATTTGAGTGAGAGAGTCTTATTGCTGTGTGTGTGATGGGGAGGAGGAGCCGCTGAACTCAGGGAGACCCCCCCCCCCACGCCGTTCCTTCCTCCCCAATCGCCCCGCCTCCCGCCCCGTGTCCGTGCGTTCCCGGAGCGCAGGAGGGGCGCGACATGCGTGTGGGGAGCGCGTCATGCAGCGCATGCGTGTAGTTGCAGGCACCCTGGCGGCCGAGGAGAAAAGGGGAGCGGGACTTGGAAGTTGTCCCTTTAGCTCTCTCTTCCTCCCCGAATCCTACACTGTTGACTTGGGGGATGGGGACGGTGGTGAAGGACGAGAGTCACGTTTTGTAAAAGTTTATGATCGTGATTACTTTCAAAAGCTGAACTAAAAAGCTGGGTACGTGTGGCAGATTGGCGAGCAGGGGGAGACGTTGGGAAGAGGTCTGTACCCTTTGGAAAAGATCCTCACCCCCTTTCCCTGCGCTGTTCGGCTTCCGTGAGGATCATGGGAATCTGGGGGCTATTTTTTTTTTTAAAGAAGTTAAACCCTTTGGCAATATAACCAGTCCCCACCCCCATACCCTGGTGTCTGGAGCCCCTAGCCCTTTGCCTCGTCCCACTCCGCTCACACCAGAACCTGCCCCACCCCTCACCCCTGATTTAGGGTTTAGGGTTTAGGGTCCAAGGAAAGGATGGGGGGACTCAAAATGCCCCTTGCATAGGAATCGTTGCATCAAGAATCGTGCTCAGTGACACCCCCCAACCCTCGGGTTGGTGGGGGGGGCTCCTGAGGCCGTGGGAGCAGAGGGAGGGAGGTTGCTAATTCTGTAGGCCTCCAGCTCCAAAAGGGGTGGTCCCCTCTAAGGATTCTGGGACCGTGTGGTCTCTGGGCTTGGGGGAGGTAGCGCATCCTTGAGCCAGGATGGGATATGAGAAATGATCTTCCGCCCATGAGCATGGCAGGACGAGGAATGCCGGAGAAGGGTGGGCTGGGATTCCAGCCCCTGTAGGTTTGTCGTTTCCCAGGCTTCCGATGTTCCAGTGTCCCTTGATGGGGGCACAGCCTCTCCTGTGAGTGGAAACACTCTACCCTAAATAAACGGTGTCCGGGCCAGGCAGCAGTATCCGGACTTACCGGCCTCTGGAAGATGCCGTAAAAGACAAAACTTTCTAGATTAAGTGTCCTTGTACTGCCTAAAACTTTAGCACATCACCAGGGGTCCAAATATAGCCCTCTGGGAAACACTGATGTCCATGAAGAGGGTCCCTTTTGGGCACCATGTAGGGGAAGGGGCTCTTGGAAGAGGCAGGTCTAGGCATAAGAAAGGGGATGCCCAGGGGAAGGTCTGGTTCCCTGGAATTGCAGACAGGTTGAGCCTATCTTGGAAATTCTAGCATCAGGAGAACCTGAGGTGGATGTCTGATGTCAGAGATTTGGGGATATCTGGGTGGCGGGGGAGGGGGGAGGCCTGAGGATTTGGTGGTGTCCAAGAAATGTCCAAGTGTGGGAAGGATTTGGAGCATCCCAAAGGCTGAAAGTGAGCTGAAGGGCTGGGTCAAGTCTTGGAGGTTCGAGGTGCTGGGATGCAGTCCAGGCAATGGGTGGGGTGGGGCTTGGGGAGGGCAGCATCTGTATGCAGAGGTTAAGTCCCAGGACCCTGTGGGGATTTAGGGGATGCGGGGTGCCAGGGTTGGTCTCAGGGATTCTGGGTACAGGTCTCATGTCCTGGTAATTTGAAGGGGGTAGTGGGGAATTTCGTGTGCTAGGGCCAGATCATCCCAGAAATTCTGAGACGGGAGGTCTGAGTCCATGCAGCAAGAATAGAGGCGAGCAGATCCCTTGGGGGAGGGTTGGGATGGGGAGGGAGAATTGGGGAGAGATGACAGGGTCACATTCACCAGGGGTCCTCCTAAAAGCTGAGGGAGCAGCTGTCCACAGCACACGCCCCATGCCTCTGCTTCTACCATCTGAGCTCAGCTCATTTTGGGGGCTCGAGTGACTGTTACTCCTTCCCCCACATTGTTGCTAATATATATATATATATATATATATATATATATATATATATATGTATATATATCACATCAATGTGATGGGTTGCCCTCCTGGGGTGAAGGGTAGGAGGCCAGGAAACCCTCCTGCGGCTTAAACGCCAGCTCATTCCCTTGAGGTCCCCGCCCCCTTCCCAGAATTCCCCTTCCCTCAGTGCCGTGGCATGCAGCCCCTGGTGGCTTATTGCTGAGGTGGGGTTGGAGGGGGGATTGTCCAGGTTAAGGGAGGCATGCAGAGTAGGGGAGAGGCGCCCCAAAATGTAATTGGCATAATTTGGACGTATTTACAGGAGTTTATGGGAGCGGGATGTCCTATGGCTCATGGAGACCTGAGAAGGCTTTATTGGGGGGGGGGAGAGAGGTGGGGGGGGGGGCTTTGGCTCCTCCCCCCCCCTCCCGGGGGGCCCGGGGGGGGGTGAGGGGTCCGGGGGTGTCTGCTGGCGTCGTCGTCTCAGTTGCATATTATTAATGACTTTTTGATTTTTTTTTTAAAAAACCCTTTCCCCCACCCCCCACCCCCAGCTCCTTTGACCTTCTTCCCTGTCACCCCCGAGTCCCCCCACGGGGGGGGAGGGGAGCGCTAGAGGATGGAGGGCAGGGTTGGGGGAGCGCGGCGGGCGGCCCTGGGAGAGCCCGGGGGAGGGGCAAGGGGCGCGAGGCGCAGGGACACCCCACTCAGGCCCGCGATGCTGCTCAGGCTGCGGGATTTCTCGTAACCTGGGGGGGGAGGGGTCGGAAACACAGGAGGAAGCATGGAGATGGGGGTGCGGGGGAAGGGTCCAACAGACAGACCCCGAGACAGGGTAGCAGGGGAGAAACGACCAGGAGGGAAGGGAGATGGAGAAAAGAAAGAGAGACACAGAAACAGAGAGCCAGAGACAGGAAAAGTCAAGAGACAGAAAAAGGTGAAGCAGAGGGTCAGGAATAGAGACAGACGGTATAGGGAGACAGAGGGGATGAGAGACAGAGACAGACACCAAGACATAACAAGACAGATGGCAGAGGCAGAGATGGACAGAGGCGGACCAAGGAGATGGAGAGAGAGAGAGGTGAACAAATTGGACAGTCAGTCAGCATCAAGGAGAAAGGTTCAGACATGGGGAGGGGGGAGAGACTCAGGGTTAGGAGGCAGGGTGAGGCCCACCAAGCCTCCCTCACCCCAACCCCACCGCAGCCCGCCCCACACTTCCCCTCCCCCTCCCCCATTGGCCCCCTTATCTGAGGCAAAACGGTGGGGGGCAGCAAGGCAGATGGTGGGCAGCCGGGCATGGGGAGGGAGCTTGGTGGAATGCATGTAGGGGAGCAGCCGGTGGGAGGGCTTGGGTGGGGGCTGACCTAGTTGTGGGGAAAGGGGGAAAGGCAGGTGATGGGGCTGTGGGGGGCGGAAAGGAGCAAAAGGGGGCAGTGCCTGGGGGGGGGGCGGCGCTGGAGAGCAGTCTGAGTGGGCCAGGGCACACCTGCAGGTTGTAATGGGGTATCTTTAAAGGGTCATGAAGTCTTGAGGTGGAAACCTTCTGATGGGAAGGTTCTCACAGTGTCTTGAGAGCCCAACGGGTCTAAGACTGGGGGAGTACGTGTGTGGTTTCTTGAAAGCTTGGGAAGATCTGAGTCTGCCAGTGTCTGGGGAAAGTTCCAGTACTTCTCTAGGTGATGCCAAGAGGTCTGTCTGGATGAGGGCATCTTGACCAGAGGGGAAGGGGCCTGGGGCACCGGGGTTGGAAGCCCAGTATCTTGGGGACACCCCCTCCCAGCCATTCCCAAATGCTAACCTGGGGGGAAGGGGCAGGGGGGGACCGAGGGTCTCGCGAGGTCTCAGGCGGTGACAAGAGCTGGGGACAGAAATACACAGAGTCACGGCGGGGGGAGGGTGGTCAGGGGGAACCCCCCAACACAGCCTCACTGTTGGGGGGACGGAGAAACGCCGAAATCTCTTCCTCCTCTCTGGTGTTTTCCGGGGGAGGGGAGCAGTGAAATGGGGGCAGCCAGAGACATCAAATATGGAAGGAGCTTCCGGGGTGGCTGGGGAGGAGGGGGTGGGTGGGGAGGAGGACCAGGGGAGGAGGGGGTGGGTGGGGAGGAGGACCCCGGGAAGAGGGGGTGGCTGGGGAGGAGGACCAAGGGAGGGAGGCTGGGGGAGGGTTAGGGAAGAAAGGGTAACAGGTGTCAGGAGTTGGACTCAGGAGGTTGGTGTGAGAAGAGGAGAAGGAAAGGGTCATGGGGTGGGCAAGGGGCGGGCCAGGGGGAAGGGTCTTGGGAGGAGTTGGGGGATGGTAGTGGAGGGGTCACCCAGGGAGGGCAGAGAGGAAGGGAGGAGCCTGGAAGTACTGGAGTGGGGAGGGACCCAGGACCCGGGGCAGACCGCTCAGTCAGCCCCATCAGCTCCAGCCACTATTTGAGTTCAATGAATGGATTTTGGCATCAGAGGCAAGAGTAGCAGAGACCTCCACCCGCCCGCCCCACTCCACCCTCCCTCCCATTCCCAAATCCTCCCCACCCCCTGAACCCCTCAGTTCTCTGGGGCCCATCTAGACCCGGGGGTGGGGAACAAAGGGTGGTACTGGGTGCAAGCAGGGGGAAGGGTGAGGCGGGAGCAGGGAAGGGGGGGGATAATGAGATGAAAATGGAGGATGAACTGGGGAGACGGAGGGATGGAACGAGAGGAGCCACAGTCCCTCCTGGACGAGGAGCCTGGAAGCCTGGGTTCTCATCCCTGTCTGCTCTGTGGCGGGGGTCGCTCAAGGCCCCCCTGAACTTCTGTGGAACAAGGGGCTTGAAAAAGGCTGTCCCTGGAGGCTCCCCAAGTCCCATGACAGCATCTTTGTAGGCTGTAAGCGGGAATTCTTTGGGCTATTATCTCTATTTCTAAAGAAGTTTCCACAGACTGTTGCGATCAAGTGCCTTCAGGCAGCTTCCCCGTCACTTTGAAGATCAAATCCAGCCTCTCACCAAAACCTGTCACGATCCTTCCTACCCCCGCCCCGCATACTCTGTCTGGCACCCTGTTCCCTTCAGATACTCACTTCCAGCCACACACCCCTCCTTGCTTTTCCTTTGACAAACCAAGCTCACCCCATCTCAGTACCCCTGGACTTTTGCACCTGCTGTGCCTTCTGACCAGCTGGCCCTTTTCACTGTTCAGGTTTCGGTCTTACCTTCTCAAAAAGCCCTTTGCAGACCGCGCCCACCCCCCCAAGCCCAGTCTGAAGTGGCCAGAGTAATCCCCGGATCAGGGGGTGGCAAACGTTTCCTGCAAAGGGCCAATTCCTAAATATTTTCAGCTCCGTGGGCCACACGTTCTCTGTGGCAGCTCTTCCACTCTATTTACAAAACAGCTTGCTGGCAGGCTTGGCCCCTGGGCTGAAGCGTGCCAATCTGTGCTCTAGCATGTTCGCTCTGTGATGGTGGATTCTTGCTCTGCGCGCTGCCAAATTTCCAGCGCCTGGAGCTGTGCCCTCAGTAATGAGCTGCTCGGTGAAGGAGCGGATGGAGGGATGGAGGAAGCAAGCCCTGTGCCTTAAGCTAGGGTGGCTCCGAAGACTACAGAATGTGTGTTCGCTTCCTGGCAGAAAATAAAAGCCGGACCGTGTTTGCTGCAAGATTCCTCGACTACCTCGCCACTCTCTCCCCCTCATCTGCCCACCGCCAGTCCCCAGCCCCGTCCCTTCCGCCCCCTCCCCATCCCTGACTCCCTCTACCTTGTCTCTTCCTCTCCATCCCTGTGCACAGCCCTGAGCTGGGTCCAGGCAGCATCCTCCCCCTCCCTCTGGGCCTTCATCCAGCCTCCTGACCTCTACAAACACAGCCCAAGAGCCGACCTGCCCTCCCCAGGGGCCCTAAGCAAGGTCCTGGCCTTTCAGTCCAGCCCGGCTTTCCTGCCTGTCTACCTGCCAGTCCCCGGTCTCCTCAGCTTTGCTTGTGCTGGTCCCTCTGGTCACCACCGTCTAATGGGATCATTTCTTCGCTTGAGGTCAGGCTAACTCCAGACATCAGTTCCTTCGGGAAACCTTCCCTGTCACCTCCCTCCTACCCTGGAGAGTTCCGAGTGTTCCGCATACTGCGTGTCCCTGCGCTACCTCCACTTCCAGAGATCACCTCAAACAGGGACTTTCTAGGTCGGTGTCTGCCTCTCCCATCAAACTGGGAGCTCCCCCGAGGCAGGGGGATGGTCTTCCCTGCTGCCTCCCTGCGCTGAGCACCAGGCCAGGGATGTGCGGGTACAGACAGGTACCCTGTGCATGCCTTGGTCTTGTTCACAAGCCTCTGCGTGAGCAACTGAGTCCCCCTCACCCCGGCTTGCACCCAGAAGTGTGCTGGGTGTGCACCCTGCTTTCTTCATTGAATTTAAAAGACACCCAGGCGGGGAGGCAAGGGGAGAGATGAGGATAGGGGTGAGGCTGGGGCTCAGTCATGACCGGCAGGGGAGGGAGGTCAGGCACGCGGTGGGGAGGGCTGGGTTAGATCTGGTGGGTGAGTGAGGGGCAGGGCAAGTCCTGGGCAGATGGGTATGGGGTCGGGGGTCGTGGCTGCAGGTTAATTGGATGGAGCCGTTCAGTGAGGGGACGGGAGTCTCGGTCAGTGGGGGCCACATGTTCTCAGAGGGGTTAGTCAGGAGGGAGGTGGGGATCCAAGGTTGGGGGCTACTTACCCCGGGGGGAGGGGATTCGTCCGCTAGGGGGATATCCAGGCTGCAGCGTTGGCGTTGAGGTCGGGCAAGAAGCTTGGGGGGCCTGGCTTATGCCAGTCTGGGGGGAGCAGTGGGGGAGCACCGATGGCTGGGGGTGGGGGAAGAGGCCAGAGGGTCGGGGGGGTGGGTGGGGGAGATGGAGATGGAATAAAGACAGGTGAAGGGTCAGTGGTGAGGAAATTTGGTGGTGGGAGGGGTCTGGGAAGGGAATTTGGGGCCAGGGGATGGGGGAAGGGAAGTCCAGCACCTCCTCCCCCATCTCCCTCTCCCCCCTCCCCTGAGGGAGGGAGAGAAAGAGAGGGAGGGTCCCGGGGCCAGTGGAGGGCACCTCACCTTTCCGGATAGAGCCATCAGGGGAAGGGGCATAGTCGGTGAGGAGGAAGCAGGCTCGGTCCCGGCTATAGCGGCCTCGGCTCCCAGGGGTGATGGGGCTCTTGTCTTCCGGGGACATGGCGGGCTGGTCGATGGCTGGGCAGTCCTCATGGGCAAGCGCAGCTGCGGCAGGGTCCCCGTTGGGCCGGGGATCTGCACCGGGGGGGTCAGACAGAGACAGAGAGGACAGAGTGAGGTGTGGGAACTCAAGGTGGAGGGGAGATTAGCAAGGAGGGTGTTGGAGAATGTTAGGTGCCAGAAGTAGGTGATTGAGGGGCACGGTGTCTCAAGGAGGGGACAGGAGGGGTGCACAGTTGGAAGCAGGGTGTCAGGGTGTGTGCTGGTGGGTTCAGGGAGCCGGTCATTGGGGGAGGGTATTAAATGCTGGGAAGGACAACAGGGAGAGGGAAGGGCAGTCAGGGGTGGGTGCAGATGGAGGGTGCTGAGTGGTAGGAAGTGGTGGTTGGGCCAGGTATTAGGTGCTGGGAAGGGCAGGACTGGGGTGGGGAGTTGGGCATTTGGAGGGTGGTTAGGAAGTTTGGTGGGTGCTGGGAAGGAGGCTGGGATAGGGTGCTGAGGGGACAGTTGGTTGAAGTGAACTAAGTAGGACTGGGATGCAGCGTTGGGTTGGTAGGGTGCCTGGGTTGGGATGGGTTTGGAGGATTGGCTGGGAGATCTAGAGGACAGAGAGGGAGTGGCTTAGGGACGGTGTTGGGTGCTGGAAAGGGAACAGTGGGGAAGGGTTGGGAAGGTGACAGGGGAGGGAAGGGAGAGGTGGGGGTCCCCCAGGGTCTGACTTAAGCTATTTTTAATTGGCGTGAAACTGGGTCAGCGGCTGAGGGAGCAAGATGAGGGCCAGGTGGCCCAGCTCCCTTTCTTGACCTACTTAAGTCATGGGGGTGGGGGCCACCAGCTCCGGACTGCCCCCAATCATTGCCTCAGAGACACAGACTCTCTGGGGGGAGGGGTGGGCAACACCCAGTCAACTCTCTTCTAGCTCATCTCCTTTGCTTCCCCTCTTTGTCTCAGCAGCCTTTGTCTCTCAGACCCCTCTTGGGCTGCTCTCGCTCTTGGCACAGCCCGAGCCAGGCCCTAGGTCCCGAGTCACCATCATGTGGCCGGTCCGCCTCCGGGCCTATCTTCTTGGCCTCTATCTTCTGGGTTTTTAAGCCTTGTCTCCTCTCTTGGCCTCACTGTTATTAGAACCTGAACTCTCTGCCACTGACCCTATCCCCACCCCTCCCTCCATCTGTCCTCACTCTCCTGCTCTCAGTGACAATTGCCTGATTTCTGACTGTTGCTTTTAGACTCTTTTCTCAGGGTCATCACTGGAAGCCTCCGAAGTTGCAACTGTCCTTTCGCCAGGTCTCCGGCCAGCCCATGATTCCCACATTAGACCCGCTCAGTGCCGATGTCTGAGTCCCCCTGGCCAGAGGCTCATTACTCTGCCTCCCAGGTCCCCCGGAATGTCTGTCTCTCCCCAAGCTGTCTCTTTCACACAGAATCTGTTTCTGTGCCTTTTCACTGACCTCAGCAATAGCCGTTCCCCTTTCCCTCTCTCCTCTGTCGTGACCCCCCCATCTCTCTTAACCTCAGCAGTGACCTCCCGCCCCCCACAAACCTCTCCGCCTCCCCACGCCCCCCACCCCATGCACCCTTCTCACCTGCCCGGTTGATCTCAATGACTTCCTCCTGAGCCAGAGGGCAAGGCTCCCCAGGGGCTGGCAGAGGAGGCAGCCCCATGATCCCGAGCCCACCCGCTCCCCCCCTGAGCAGCCCGGGGTGCGTGTGGGGGCCCGGTGGGTAGGCCCCAGGCACAGTCACCCCCACGGAAGGTGGGGTGATGGGGGGCGGGGGGCTGATGCCGCCGCTGCCCTGGTGGGCGTGGTGCGGGGGCGGTGGGGGAGGGTCGGGCTTGCAGTAGTTGGGAGAGCCGGGCTGCGGGGGGCGGGGGATGTGTTTGTTCTTCTTCTTGGGCAGCTTCTGCTTGGCCATGGCCAGCGAGTAGTACATGCCAAAGTTGTTGACGATGACGGGCACGGGCATGGCGATGGTGAGCACCCCGGCCAGGGCACACAGGGCCCCGACCAGCATCCCCGACCACGTTTTGGGGTACATGTCTCCGTAGCCCAGGGTCGTCATGGTGACCACGGCCCACCAGAAGCCGATGGGGATGTTCTTGAAGTAGGTGTGGTTGGAGCCCAGGATGTCATCGGGGTCCGCGCCGATGCGCTCGGCGTAGTAAATCATGGTGGCGAAGATGAGCACGCCCAGCGCCAGGAAGATGATGAGCAGCAGGAACTCGTTGGTGCTGGCGCGGAGCGTGTGGCCCAGCACGCGCAGCCCCACAAAATGGCGCGTGAGCTTGAAGATGCGGAGGATGCGCACGAAGCGGACGACCCGCAGGAAGCCCAGCACGTCCTTGGCGGCCTTGGAGCTGAGGCCCGACAGGCCCACCTCGAGATAGAAGGGCAAGATGGCCACGCAGTCGATGATGTTGAGGCTGCTCTTGAGAAATTCCACCTTGTCCGGGCAGAAGGTGACACGCATAAGGAACTCAAAGGTGAACCAGACCACACACACGCCCTCCACGTAGGTCAGGAAGGGCTCCGTCTCCACCTCCACATTGGTGATGTTCTCTGGTGGAGCCCCGGGGATCGGGGAGGCCTGGGTCACTGTCTTGTTGCTGATATGGATGAAGCCTTCGTGGGTCTCCAGGCAGAAGGTGGTTATGGAGATGAGGATGAAGAAGAGGGAGGCGAAGGCCACATACTGTGAGGCAGGGCAGGAGAGAGAGGGCAAAAGATGACCCAGGCATCTGGTCAACCAGCCAAGTCCACAAGACCCTCCCGGCGGCCCTTTTCCCAGCTCCAGACTCCAGGGAAATTCAGAAGCCCCATACCTCCATCACAGCCCGCACCCTGCTGTCCCCTCTAACGCCTGAAAAAGGGGAGGAAAAGGATCGGAGGCAGCTCCCCCCAGCTTGGGATAGGAGCCGGCTCCAGCAGTGGAAACAGATGGGCAACTGTTTTCATGGAAGCAGCAATTTCTGGTCCTTTGCTCCATGTCCCAGACCACCTTCCCATACTCTGTGTCCTATCTCAGGACTTCCCAGCAGGGTCCAAGGATGCTGGGGGGAGGGATAGGGGTGGGGTGTGGGGGGAGACCAAGATCACTCACCCTCTGTGTATCAGAGGCTTTGGAGCTCAGCTTGGAGCCAAGGGAAGGGGAAGGGGGGAAGGTGGGTGGGGAAACAGAGTACCCGACGGTTAAGAAAGTCTGGATTTGAATCCGGCCTTTCCTGTGCCTAATTTGGGCAAGAAGTTTAAGCTTTCTACACCTCAGGGTTTTTGTTGTTGTTGTTACCAGATTATTATGAGGATTATGTTAAATGAATATACAGAAGTCCTGGCTCCAGAAACAGTGCTTGGCCCAGCATCTGGAACTCAGTAAGCAAGACTGTGCTCCTATTAGGGTACGTGGGCATCCGTTAGTTGGAGACAAGGTCAAGGCCTTCAGAGAGGAGCCAGGGCTTAAGGACTCTGGTCCCAATGTCCGGCTCCAGAGAAGGGAGAAAGCTCGGTGTCACCCTCAACTGGAGAGGACAGCAAAGGGCTAGAACCACAGAGGGGTGTTAGGGCCATAAATAGGAAAGGAAGTGAAGAGTCAAGTCTGCAAAAATTGAAAAAGAGAGAAGCAAGGAGGGTTGGGGTTTCAGGCTGTGGAGAGGAAGGGAGGGTCAGGGGCCCAAGCGTCAGGGGAGATGGTGGAGCCAGGGCCATAGAGGTGATGAGGCTTTAGCCAAAAGTGCAGAAAAGGGGGTGGGGCACACATGGGTTATTTCAAGATGGGGAGAACCAGAGTCCTGAATGCAATGGTGTGGATTTTGAAGAAAACCGTGAGGAGCAGAGGGGGTGCGGTCAAGAACTTAGAGAAGGAAGGGGACAGAGTTGTCCCCTGGAGATGACAGTGGGCTTTATCAAATATGCAGAGAGGAGAAGAGTGGGGTTAGTGCCTTGCAGGGAGAAGGAGATGGGTGTTAAGGCAAAGGGGGGCTTTAGTCAGTTGGGTAGAGGAGGAAGGAGGACCTGGGCAGCTTGAGTTTTAATCAGGGATGCAGAGAAAAGCGGGGGCCCAGGCTCCGACTGCAGACAGGACCAGACCTTGGGGTGGGCTGGGGGCCTGCACACCCCTTCAGCCACTCCCCTTCCTCCACAGGGCTGGGGGGCGGGGTCTGGGCTTGGGAAGGCTCAACTTTAATCTGAAGTGCGGAGCAGAGAGGTGGGCCAGAGTCTGCCGCACATACAGCCCTGGACCTTGGGGTGGGCTGGGGTCAGCGCGGGCCCTCTCTGCCCCGCCCCCCTCTTCGTTTCTCCGCAGTGGTTTAAGAGGCCAGAGGCCGCTGCACAGCGCATGCCCCGTGCTCCCCCGCCTCCTCCGAGCCGGGTGCGCGGCGCAGGCTGCGGCACCGCAGTGGGGGCGGGCCGGCCGGGCCGGGGGGCGGGGCGCGCGGCGGCCAGCACCGAGGCCAGCTCCCCCGCCGCAGTGCGCAGCCGCCGCAGCTGAGAGCGGTCTTAACCCCTTCCGGGCCAGGAGCAGAGCAAGCAGGGCGCAGCCGCAGTGCCGCTGCTTCGCTTCGGGTGGCCGCGGGCCAGGAGTTTAACTCCTTCCCTCCCAGGGCAAGGAAAGAAAGGTGGGCACCCGCCGCAGTGCGCGGCTGTAGAGTCTGGACTGCGTTGGGGCTGGTTTAATCCCTTGCCCTCAGGTGGTTCAAAAGCAGAAGGGGCAGGAGGGCAAGAAGTCTCTGTAAGAAGGGAAAGAAAAATTACGGGGAGGGGAGGGGAGGGAGGATGAAGTAGGGCTGTACTCTCCACGTTGCACTGGCCTCTGCTCCCAACTCTGTCTGTCCAGCTCTCTCTCTTGTAGGCTGGAAAGTACCTGGCAAGCCCGACACTCAAAAACCATTTGTGTAGTAAGTGAGTGACAACCCCCACTCCCCCATAACTGTCCCGGACCCCTAGTCTCACCTCAGCACCCTTCAATGGGGTCACGAGAGAAGGGCGCCCCAGCCATAGGGGAGGAGGCCACTCAGAGGCCTGAGGGGCATTTAGGGCCAAGGCCCTTCGGAACCTCCTCCTCCCTACCTCCCCCCACCCAGCCCCAAATCTCGCCAACTCAGCGCTTCCTGGGACCAAACTTTATGCAGTGCCTCTGGGCTACCCCCCCCCCCCCCCTTTCGCTCCCTCCCCTGGCGCGAATGCGACACTGCGGCTCCACGTCCTTCCCTGCCCAGGACACGGCACGGTGGGGGGTGGGGTCGGACAGGTTTCTCCGGGTGTTTGGGTGTTCTGGAGGCTAGGAGAGGGCCCGGGAGTTGTTCCTCTTTCCCCTCCTTTCTGATCCCCCCCACTATGAACTGTCCCCCTCTCTTCCAACACAGGGAGGAAGTTAGTAGGAGGAAGAGGTTCAAGGGAGAACAAAGGGGGAGGGTAGCTATTTAGCCTAGGAAGTTAGAGACGTTTGAAGGAAGTTTTGGGGGGAAGGTGAAGGGTGCTTTGGGAAAAAGTCTGGCATTTCAAGGGAGTTAAGATTAGAGTGTGAACTCTCTGGTTCACTTTTGGGGTAGGGGAGCACAGAGACCCAGTCCTGGGGTTTGGCTGATGGAGAGGCAGGGAGCTTGGGAAAGGGGGAGTGCGCAGAGCTGGGGTAGGGACCAGTGGAAAGATACCGAGGCAGAGTAGAAAGAACTGGGAGCTATTTTGAGAGGAAGTTTTGGGACAGATATCTGGGGGTGGGGGAGGGAGTCCCAAAGATTGAGGTTCAGTAAAGTAGGAGAAAAGTCAGTTGATTGACTTGGAAAAGGACTGGGAGGCTCTGGATGGGGGATCCTAGAGATAAAGAGTGGGAAGGGAGAAGAAGCTGGGAGAATCTGTGGATGAAGAAGGCATATGGGAACTTCTGGAGAGGAAAGACATATTATGGGGGCTCAAGACTCTTCTGAAGACACTGAGGAGGAGTGTGAAAGGCTTGGGGGAAGTCTGGAGCTTTATAGGGAAAGTCCTTGGGATGGGAGTTGGCGTGGAGGATGCAGGAAGATATGTGAACACAGACACAGAGGGGACTGGATAGGGTCCCAGGAGGAAAGGCTCACCAGGACTCCGTGTTGCAGCAGGGGAGAGGGGGAAAGTGTGCTAGCCAGAGCAAGTGGTTTGGGGGTTCACAGGGGTCCAGGAGGTTCTGAGATTGAGGCAGAGTCTTCTAAGACTTTGAGAGCACAAGTGGGGTTCAAAAATAGCCAGAAGACTCAAACTTGAAGAGAGGGGAGGTGTAGGGAGAGGAGCATAGGGAGAAAGAATCAGGGAGAACCCCAGGGACTGAGGGTTGGAGAGGAGCTTCAGAGGAGAGGCAGCTTGCAGGGAAAGGTAGGGGCAGTGTTCACAGAGTCTGGGACACTGAAGGTTAAGAAGGGAGGTTTTCTGGGGCACCTGGGTGGCTCAATGCGTTGGGCCTCTGCCTTCGACTCAGGTCAAGATCTCGGGGTTCTGGGATCAAGGCCCGCATTGGGCTCTCTGATCAGGAGGGAGCCTGCTTCCCCCTCTGTCTCTGCCTGCTGCTCTGCCTACTTGTGATCTCTATTTTCTGTCAAATAAATAAATAAAATCTTCAAAAAGAAGAAGAAGACGAAGAAGAAGAAGAGGAGGAGGAGGAGGAGGAGGAGGAGGGGGAGGAGGAGGAGGAGGAGTTGGAGGAGAGGTCTTCTGAGGGTCTGGGGATGGTCCAAGAAACTGAGGGCTGCAGAGGGGTTCTCTGGCGGTCTGAGGGGATGACCGAGAGAGGTGAAAAGGATTTACAGGGGCTCAGAAGACTCGGGGCTGGATAAAGTTCTTCTGAGGGTCTCAGAGGAGTCCAGGAAAGGAGGTAGTGAGGTTGTTCAGAGAAGCCCAGGAGATTAACAGACGGGGCATAAGTTTCTAAGCGTGTTGGGTAGCCTAGGGAAGCCGGGTGGGGTTTGGAGGGATCTGGAGGATTCTGAAGGTTGAGGAAGCGTCTTCCGAGGACCTGGGGATGGCAGGGAGAGGGGGTGTGTTCAAAAAAGTACGGGAAACTCGGGGTTGGACAAAGAAGCTTTTCTAGAAGAACCTGGGAGGCCCAGAGACCAGGAAGGCCAGAAGGGCTTGGGACCCGCCGCGAGATTCTGGGGGTTAGGATGGGGGCACTCCTAAGGGGCTGGGATCTCCAGGAAAGGGGGGAGGGATGGGGGCTCCGAGAGCGCGCTCACCCTGGCGGCCCGCGACGAGTAGGGGTCCTCGAAGAGCGCCCACACGCGGGGCTGCCAGCGGCGCCACCACGTGCCGCCTGCGCCGCCCGCGCCCCCTGGCGGCCCCCCGGCGCCGCCGCCCGCGTCCTGGAAGCAGAGGCGCTTGAGCTCGCCGCCCGCGCCGTCCAAGCCGCCGCCGCCCGCACCCGCCTCGTCGTCCAGGCCCGCGTCGTGGGCGCCGGCGGCGTTGGCGGCGTTGGCTGCGCCCGCTGGGTCCGGAGCCTCAAAGGAGTCGAGCGCCTCTTCGGCGTCGCGGTGCTGCCGGTAGGTCATCCAGCAGCAGGCCTCCACGTCGGTCTCGTCGATGCCCCAGAAGCCGAGCTCCTCCTCGAAAAGCGGCCCGCACACGTCGGCTGGACAGTGCAGCTTGCCTGTGCGGTAGTAGTTGAGCACGTAGGCGAAGACTCCCGGGTGCCGGTCAAAGAAGAACTCGTCAGCGCCGGGATCGTAGTCGAAGCGCGCCGCCGCCTCGGGCTCCGTCAGGCCGGCCAGCCGCGTCCCCGGCAGGGTGCGCAGCGTCGAGCGGTACGTCTCATGGCGCACGCCGCCCACGTTGATCACGATCTTGCCGCTGTCGCCACCGCCGCCGCCGTGCCGCCCCATGGCCGCCGCCGGCAGCCCGGGGCATGGCTCGGCGCGCCGGCCCCCGGGCCCGCGAGGTGCCGGGGGGCCCGCCGAGGACGCGGCGGGGCCGGGCTGCGCAGACTGCTGCTGCTGCAGCGGCGGCGGTGACAGCGGCGGGGGAAGCGGCGGCGGGGACTCGGGCGGCTGCAGCGGTGGCGCCGGCTGCTGCTTGCTGGCCCCCTGGCGCCCGCGGAAGGACGAGACGCAGACTGAGCTCAGCATTGGACGGGGGGCGGGGCGAGAGGGGCGGGGAGTAGGGGGCGGGGCCTCAGGGGGAGAGGCAGACAGGATTGGGTGGAGGAGGTGACGCGAGGAGGGGGCGGGGCCGCGGTAAGGGAGGAACAGAACTGATTGGCCTGGGGGAGGTAGGGCGGGGCTGAGGCAGGGAGAAGGTCGGGGACTCCGCACAGCCTAGCTGGACGGGGCGGGGCTGCAGGTGAAGCACACCGATTGGATCTTTCCGAGAGAAGGGGCGGGCGGAGCTAGGCGTTAGGGGGCGGGACCGACAACTAAAGCTGCGGGGCTGGACCGCGCAAGGAAAACAGAGGAGGTGGGACCAGATACGAGATCTGAGTGAACTGAAAAAAGGAGGGGGTCCAGCAGAGGAAGGGGACACGTCCAAACTATTTAAAGACTTCTGACTGGCATGGGGGAGACGGTCCTGACTGGACAGAGAAAGGACCTAAAGAGTTGGCAAGCAGGACCCGGTGGGGAAGGGAGGATGGAAACAGCTCGCTTGGGTCCCTAACTTCGCTTTGTCGCCACAGGGCGGATCTTAAAGAGAGGCAGGGCCTGAGAAAGTTAGGAGCAGTCCTAATTGGCCTGGGAGAGTGAGGGGGCGAGACTGAACGAGGGGCGGGAACTGGAACTGGAGAGTAGAGTACTTTGGCGAGACTGGCACTAGGCTGGACTGTAAGGAGGAATAGGGACTGAGACCCAGTGAGGAGGAGCGGACGTAAGCGAGGCCTGGAAACCTGAGAGCGTCTGGCTAGGACTAAGAAAGGGGGCAAAGTAAGGAAGTGGAGGGGCCGGAGCTGCAAACTTGTCCTGGTCAGACAGGGCTGGGCCGGGAAAATGAGGGTCAGGATGGATGGAACGGATCTGAGGAAGGTGGGCAGGGTCTACGAATGGTAGAAAACCTCTTAAAGGGCGCTGTGGGAAGGCGGGAGTATGGTTCTAAGAGGCGTGTAAGGAACCAGGCTAGGCGGGGTGGGGCAGGGTTCAGAGTAGAGAACGGATAAGGGTACACTATGGGAAAGGTGAGACCTGCAGGGTACAAAGATACTGGGCTGGTTGGAAGGGTGGGACCTGGAATGGGGAGTCTTGGGGCTCAGAACCTGGGAGAGAGTCCTAAGAGTCAGTGGGGCTTTAGAGGGCGATACAAGAACTTCCAACTGCTGATGAAAAAGGGACCAAGTATACACAACAGCGAACTGCAGACTGGAGACCAAAGGATGAATGAGGACTAGTGAAGAGGGAGCCTTAAGGGCGGCGGAGGGGAAAAACCTAAGCGCTGGGAAGGCTAGGAAATAAGCAGGACCAATGAAAAAATGGGGCAGGGCTAGGTGTCCGGGAGTCCCGGCGGGAGGGGAGAGAGGGAGGTTTGGGGCGGGGCTAGATGAAGGGCGTGTCCGGCCCCGCCCCCTTGGCTGGCCAGACGCCTAGTAGCAGGGCGCAGGCGCTGGGGCGGGGCCAGCGGCTGCTGCCCGGGCTGCGGCGGGAGGAGGCGGTGCCTGCGGGAGCGAAGGGGGCGGGTCAGGGGCTGCGGGCTTCCTACCGCGGCACTATCCCTGGCCCGCCGCCTCCCTCTGCAGGTGCGGCGGCTGGTTCGTATCGCTTACCCACCCACCCCCCGCTCCCGTTTCTGTGTCTCTCGATGTCTTTCTCTCCCCTTTTTCTGAGTACTTGTCCCCTGTCTCTGCCCTCACCGCTCTGAGACTCTGGCCCCTCTTACAAGTCTCTACCCTCCCTCTGGGTCTCTGTCCCATTGTTCTCTGAAGGTGTCCCTCTCGTCTGAGTCTTTGCCCCCATCCTCTCCCCCAATTGTGTCTCTTTCCCCCCTACCCCCAGTCTCTTTCTCCTGGTTTCTGTACCTTTTTCTCAGGGATTTGCCTCTATCTCTGGGCCTCTGTCCCCTCCCGGTCTCTATCCGCCCTCTTTGTGTCTCTGACCTCCACTACCCCCTCCCCGCCCCTCCTCGCCAATCTGCCCCTTCTCTGGGTCGCAGTCCCCCTTGCTCTAGGACCCTGTCTCCCACTCTCTGGGTCTCTGTTCCCTCCAGCCCTCTGTCTTCTTTGTGTCTCTGTCCTCCACTCCCCTCTCCCAATCTCTACGCCCCACCCACTTCTCTGCCCATACATCTGCCTTTCTGTCCCCCTTGCTCTTGTTCTCTTACAACCTCCCTCCCAGTGTCTTTTTCCTCTCCTCCACCACTTTCCCTCCTTTGTAAGTGCCTTTTCTCTTTCTGCCCTTTCTTTTTCTCTGTCCCCCTATTTGGGTCTCTATCCTCGCTCCCTGTGTCTCTTTTGCCCCCTTCTGAGTCTCTGTCCCCACTTCTTTGGGACTTTGTCCCGCTGTCCTTTGGTCTCTGACCCCCCCCCATCACACCCTCTAACCCCCATCCTGGCCAGGACTCGAGGCTGCGTCACTGCGGAGAGAGTTGCAGAAGTGGGGCCCGTCCTGCAGACCAGGGAGGTAGCTTCCCTCACCCCCCAGACCCTGGGCTCCCCCGCTGCCCCCGATTCAATATCCTTAATCCAGTATCCGTGAGCAGTCCTAAAGCCCCCGATGGGACCCAGGAAGGCAGAGAAAAGACATCGGAGCTTCCTACTCCTCTCTGCCCAGAATTCTGGTGTATCCCCAGGCAGAAGCAGTGAGTCTTGAGGTGAGGGACTGGACTTAGGCTGAGGCTTGGGTTGGGTAAGGTTTCTGAGCAAGTCGGGTGTGAGGGTGGTGACTGGAGGAGGGGTTGGGTAGGCCTTAGGGGTGGGAGTAGGGGCTAGAATAAGGACCTAAATCAGCCATGCTCCCTTATATCCTCTCCCTCCCCCCAACTCTACTTTTCTCTTCTGCTTTTGACAGCAGCCAGGCACAGGATCAAGTTACCAAATCAGCGATTTTTGCAGAGGTCAGAAGGTGTGGGAGAAGGTGCGAAGGAGAGGGAGGAGGCTGCCACAGAGGTGAATATGGGATGAGACTCCAGATTAGAGACCACAGGAGCAGGAAGGAGGCCCCAGGGCAAGGAGTAACAGGATAGTCCAGACTCCATCAGGCCCTGGGAAAACTGAATGCCATCACTCCCTCATGGCCCTCCCCAGACCCCACCAGGTTATGTGGGGGGATTTGTGAGCCTGGATTCTGTACCCATGGGGTAGGGTTCTGGAGGCATAATGTAGGCTCCAGCTATGGGACGCCCAGCCTTGCAGACAGACCAGAGGGAAGTGGACTCTATTTTTGGCCATAGACACTAGTAGGGTGTAGGCCAAAATTTTTCCTCATCTTCAGACCTTTCTCTTTCCTCCTCCTTCCCAACCTATCCTTTCCCTGAAATTCCTGAAAGCTCCAAACTCCCACCTCCGTCATCCTCGGCGCCCTCTCTTAACTTACCCTCCCCCATTCTCCAAGGCCCTGGAATTGGAAAAGGGTATCCCGCTTCCCGATTTCTAGGACCCCAGGATCGTTCCTCCGCCCCCATTCCTATCAGTTCTAGGAAACGGGGTCTCCCGAACACTAAAGCTGAAAATATGGAGACTCTGCCTAGGAACCTTAGTTCCCCAGACCCTCCAAGAACCTTGGCCCCCAAACCTCGTTATTAAGGAAGAATCTCTCCGCTGTAATTTTTAAGTCTTCATCTCCCGGTATCCCGCCTCCCAAACTGGGATCTGGGCCGTCTTACCGCCCCCAGTCCCTGTGCCTTCTCCCCCTCCCCCGTACTCACCCCAAGTCGAGGCGGGGCGGGGATGGGGGAATCCGGGGCTGGCGTTGGGGGAGGGGTGACCCAGCCCCGGCAGCTCAGGGCAGCAAGAGGCTGCGGAGGGGGGGCTATGACATCATCGCCGGAGGAGGGACAGCACAGCTCCCCCCAACCCGGGGGCTTCAAGCCCCGCCTTTATGGCGGACCCTGGGGGGGGGTCTCAGAATCCCAGAGGAGAGAAGAGGAACAGAAGATGAAGTCTGCGGGAATCGTATCCCCACCCCTTAAAACAAGGGTTGGAAAGCCCTTTACGATTCAGCCACCACCCCCCACTGCCACCTGTCGCTGCCGTCGCGACCTGTCGCCTCCCACGCATGTTGTGGCTGCGCCCGCCCCCGGCAAAAGAACACAGCCTGGAATACAAGGTCCGTGATGCTCCGCGGTGCCGGACGCCTTTGTCTACAGAGGGCGTAGGCGAAGGGCTTCATGGGATTCGTAGTACAAGGCTCCCTCACTGGTGTGAGCCCTTTTTTCCTTTCTTCCTCAACTCCAGAGAGCTGAACACTAATTTTTCTCTCCAAAAATCGTGCGCTTAAAATTTTTTTAAAAAGCGGGAGGAGAATCCAGGTAGGGTCAATGTAAATAACGGGTTTGTACTGAGTAGCTAGTTATGCTTCGGCTACCACTCGGTGCGCGTGCGCCTAGCCAGCGCGCCAACCGGTGCCCTGCGCCCGCGCGGGCCCGCCCCTTTGTGGTCCTGCTTCCCGAGAGCGAGCGCGAGCCAGCCCCACTCGGGCACCGCCTGTTAGGTTCCCGCGATCGAAGACCGCTAAGTAGGTCCGCAAGAAGACATCGCCAAGAATCCAGAGGGGCCCTGCAGGCGGAGGCATGTCCAGGGCCTGGAAGCCAGACAAGCAGAGGCGAACACCACCCCGAGCAATCTGCAGGGCGACAAGAGAGGCCACTGGGTGTGTCACACGCACCGAACCCTCCTCTTCCCGGGGAGCCAGAGCCTTGCCCCCGCCCACAATCCCCGGCACCAGAAGTGTTTCTGTGGCCCCTCCTTGGCCCTGGTGATGTCTCACTCCCAGCTCCATCCTCTCAAATCCCATCTTACTGCATCACTCTGACTTGTTAAGACCACCTACCTGGATGACATAGTCCTGGGCTGTAAGGTTAAACCAGACCCCACCAAGTAGGAAGGAGACTGGAGAAAGTGTTGGAATTTTCGAGCACTGGATGAGGTACTGAAGGAAAAGAGGACCAAGGGGAGTTGAAGGATTCCTGCTCTGCTTAAAGTAGATACTCAGAGCTTTGTGTGGTCAAGCTCTACTGCCTTCTCTATCCTTACCGGCTCTGCCCACCACACACATACATAATCACTGCCACTT